TTTGAAATAAGCGAAGTTACATTAGTAAATGTTTTCCTCCAATAAAATTGTATTCCCAATTCAATTTATTTCTCTCCTGTCTATGGATATTTCTATCAACTATAGATTCGTATATTATTCATATCTCTGTTAAAAGAAATGTTGAATACGAGAAGGGTCTTTTTTTTTCATCTAAGTCAGTAAATGCATTTCTGATGGCCAACTGTTGTGTGATCAATGTTTTTATTGTGGGAAGTGTTTTGTTGGTGCAATATATAAAAAAATATTTGATCAAAATAATCGTTTAATAGAATCATAGAAAAAATCCAATTGAAAGAGTTGTTAGTTACCTATGATTAAAAAAATATTAAACTTTTTTCTTGAAAATTACTTTACTTTAAATTAACAATTAACACAAATAATTATTTTCTTTCATAAAGGTAAAAAATATTAAAATAATTATATTATTCGAAAGGATTTCGTGACTTTATTGGTTGAAGAGAAGTTATTAATTATCAAGTTAAGTCGGTGCCTTTTTTAACGATGACTCGGCCAATAAAAAAGAAACCTGCACAAGTTCTGAAATTTTTTAAAATCAGCAACAATTTGGTATGTTTCCAAAAAAACAAGAAGTGACAAATGTTATTACAAAGGGTCTAACATTATTAATTGATCAAAGTTGATAAACCTATATCGACTAAGGATCATTAATGAATAGGTAAGTTGATGAATTAGTAAAGAAGAAAGTAAACACGCCGACAGTCAATAATAGAATACCTATTCATTAATTAACAATGTAACTAACTAAATAATTTCTAACAATTGGTTAAGATATTACAAAATCCTTGTATATTACGTGATAACTACATATTACGTGATGCTTTTCGTGATTATATTCATTTTACATATTTTTAAATACTTATTAACCTTTTTTCTTTACAACAATAATACGACTAGTGCATACATTTTTAATAACGAAAGGGTTAAAATTATTCAACAATATAATTATTTGATGCAACAACAAAATTTTCTACGAAAGTAATTTATTTGTTATTGATTAATAAATTCTTACTTGATACTTTATTGACTGTCGATGCATGCAGTTACAAATAAACCTAATGAAGGATACTTAAAAAGAAAAAAAACGAGATATACGTAAAATTTCAGGTGGATTCTAATTCATGAAATTTCATTTGCCGTTTTTGTAAGTCTCGTATAATTTTCAGAGACAATTTATGAAACAACGAAGAGCTTGTTCAGTCGTACAAAGCAACTCTCAGTACGGAAAAATACGAGGCTGAAGCTCTGATAATTTCTTTGAAAGTTAAAAGATTCATAGAAACAAATTTTCCTGCCGTTACTTGTCGTGGTATTCTACCATAAAACATAATGTAGGCAAGTTTTTTTATAGAACTCGTGTCAAAAGTGTACCAAGGAGAATCGTAAACACCGAGAACTATTTCGGCTGTTTTAGATTCCAACATGTCACCCGCGTAAGAATAAATAAATAATTGAACGAGTAGAGTGACGATAATGACTGCGTGTTTGGCAGCTGCAATCGTATTATTTTCATTGAGAGATACCAACATTTGAAAACCTGAAAAAAAATATAAACAAAACTTACTTTGATTCATATTACTATTATATAATAAACAATAACGAGAAAATATCATCCAAAAATTTACCCTCAACGCAAAGAAGCAAAGCACTCATCAACAATTGTATCAATATTATCACGTTAAATGCTTCTTCCAAATGATCAGCTAGATGTATCAAATGACAATGTCTCTTTACGAGTGTGCCAATTTTTTCGTTAGAACAATTCTTCTTACTTTTCAAATTGGCAAAATTTATTTTGAGTACTTCGAATTGACCGCAAAGATACATCGTAATACCGAAGAAGAAGCCATCGTTTCCACAATGTGAGGTTGCATTGACAAATATCTGCATAGCTTGAAGAATAAGAATCCCAGCACGCCAAAGTCCCGATTGTTCATCGAAAACGCAATAAGTCGATAAGAAATAAATCGATGATTCAGTGTTGTTGCTGCTCTTGTTATGATTCAAATTTAATGGTAGGACGTAATGCAACGGTAGTGTTCTGAAAACAAAACTAAAGCCAGACGCATAACCTAAATAAAGTATAGTAGATGAAACGATTTTTCCTCTGGTAGTATACTTCATTACGATTTCTCTTTGATTGGAATCTTTCAAGAAAGAAAGATCTTTGATGATAGAGGACACCAATGATCGAGTATGTTGACAATTATATCTCGTAAGCAATAATTTAGAAATACTGACGACCGATGAAAGATCCATTAAAAATGCATCCATGGTGTCATCTAGATCAACGCAATGTAGATAAACTTCCAATGATAAACTACTTATCGTACTTATCTGAACAAGATATATAATTTTAGAATGTAAAAATTCAATTTGTAAATTTATTAAAAGTAATCACAGTTAAGATAACAATAAAATTAATATCACAATAACTTGTTGACTAACTTGTATCAAAATAGCCAGAAACCAACGTAACTTTGATGACAATTTTTCAACATCGAATGGCCAAACTCCGATAAATCCAAGAAATGTTTCGTACAAGTTCAATGCATAACTAGTTTCTTCATTCCAATTTGATTTCCTCTTCATCTTGGACATCGTTTGATACAAAGAAAACTACGTTCTTTCTTTCTTCAATTGGAGTATTCGATATTATGGGAAAGAAAAAAAGCATAGTAAGCAAAGTAAGAAAGATAGACAAGTATTAGGTTCTATCTGCTTTGATCATTTATTCACGTTTAAATCGTTTTCTTTTGCTTTCTTATAAAAGTAAATGTATACAAATGTGTGGTAAGCTAAATAACACACCTTTAAAGAGCATAATATAACTACGTCATCATATTTCGTTGGAGTCTTTACTTTGGTTACGATTGATAAGTAGAAAATATCTATTTTGTTTTTTCTTTCATTTTCTAAGTCTTTCATTCATTCTTTATAAATACGTACGAGGAAAAGAAAAAGGAAAATTGATTGTAGTACGTGAACCGGTTGTTAAACTAATCAATTTTTCATAGTTCATCGTTTCTCTGATGTTTCGTGAAACTAGTACGATCGTTCAAACGATGATAGTCATTTGAAAATATGAATCATTTAGATAATACAAAAAATATTCAAATATCGGAATATTTCATTAATTGTTTTCAAATTGAAACGTTGAAAGTATTTTAATACAATATACAGTGGATCAAATAAGTATTGGCACAGCATAATTTTTGTAAATATCTTTAATTATTGAAGGAAATTGCTGACACCATGTATGTCATTTTATGTCTTTTAATGTACACTAGTTGTATACCAAAGTATATTACTTAATAATAATAATAGCAAAAATTATAAAAAGAAATAACAAAAATTTTATAGTCAAAAAAGTATTGGCACAGTAACCTCTCTAATCGTAGATTTTCAGTTTCTCTTTTTCAGACATTTCTTATACCATTTCTAAGAAGACAAATGTTAATTAACATATTATCTTGACTTCTGCATTCGATACAAGTATTTAGTTTAAATATTTATTCCACAAAGGAAACATGGTTGGAAAGACAAAAAAGCTGTCGACTGTGGTGCAAAATGAAATTATTTTTCTTCGTAAAAGGGACGACAGTTATCATCAAATTAGAGAAACTTTAAAAATTAGTTTTTTGAGTGTGAGAAATATAATTTAAAAATGTGAGAGGTTTGGCACTACTGAAAATAGACCGCGGTCAGGCCGACCGAAAATATTAACAATGAGGGAGCGGCGCGATATCATTAAACAAGTTGGAAAAAATCCATTTGTAAGTGCTCATAGATTGTTCGTTAATGTCGCAACACACTGGGGAAAGACAGTGAATCCACAAACAATTCGAAAAGTTATACATTCGGCTCACATATACGGCAGAACCACGAGAAAGAAGCCGTTCATCAATGAAGTGAATAGACAAAAATGGCTTGGATTTGCAAAAGTGTACGCAAATAAAGACATAGAATTTTGGAAAAATGTCACATTTTCTGATGAAAGTAAGTTTAATTTATTCGGATTAGATGGAGAGAAATGGATGGAAAATCAGATGAAAAAAAGTACACTTTTACTAGTGTTTTAAAGTACAGTTTTACTAGTGTACATTAAAAGACATAAAATGACATACATGGTGTCAGCAATTTCCTTCAATAATTAAAGATATTTACAAAAATTGTGGTGTGCCAATACTTATTTGATCCACTGTAACTCCGATGATAAAAATGAAGTGTATTGTAAATGAATAAAAAAACAAGGAAGTTATTTTGTAAAGACACGTATTGAATGAAACATTGAAAAAATACGAATAATAAAAAAATGTTACATTAATTACATATATATATATATATGTAAACTGTGACATTTTATTCTTATCAATATAAAAATTAAAACATTATGTGTATAGGTAGTAGATTATTATTAGGCGTTTGTGGAAAGTTATTTTAAGCGAGGAACATACAAAACTATTGTATAATCAATAGATAAGTAAATAAGCCTTAATTATACCTTTTCATTGACGTATTCCAAATAAAATTACCTATTCCGGTCTAATAATAAATGATAAAGAGAAACTTGATGATAAGCCTACGTACCTTTCAAATACTAAATAAAATTTCTACTAATTATACAAATATTTGGATGAACATTTTCCTTCGTAAATTCGTTACGGCTTAATGAACAATTAAGTGTAAGTATGACAATTTCGTTTATCGGTAAATTTTGTGAAAAAAAAAAATTAAAAAAAAAGGAAAAACGTAACTTTGTTCATTATTTGTCACGTTAAGTTGGTATAATATTTTTTCTTAAGTGCATTTTGGCATGAAAAATAAATAATAATATATATCAAACACTTCTTACAGCAGAAAATATAAACGTTTTAACCCATTTTATTTTTTAAAACAATAAAACATAAACAAACAAAATGATGACTCAGGTGGTTAAAATATTTGCCATATTTTGTAGATTATATTTGTATCAGCATATTTTTTAATGCCACGTAGCATAATGAACTACTTAAAGAATACGACGAAAAAAACAAATAGGTTAATCAAATAGTAATGTACGTAAATATCATATTATAATGATCAAAACGTACACTTATGTATATTGATTTTCGTTATCACACGCGTACCATCGATTACGTTTGAAAAAGATAACTCTTTATTTTTCCTCAAACCAATGCGTGTATCTCATTTCGCTTACCTTTTGGAATAAAAAAAAAAATAAATAAATAAAAAATAAAATACACATCGGAAATTCATAATAATTATTTATCAAGAACCACGCGCATTTAAACGACGATTCGTGCAATGGAAAAAAAAAATAAATAAAAATAATAATAAATACATCCATGAAGGAATGCAAGCGATCATCTGACACTTAAATCCTGGCACCGAGCCACACTTTGGAACCGGTTGAATGTTCCTTCCTGGCATTGTATCGAGCAAGGTGCGACCTTGGTACTTGGAATCGAATGGCTAATAATGTTACCATCCACGGATTTTAGTTCCCCCTAATTTTTTGGGGAGGTCAATGACTCGATCGTCCCTCGGAGCCATTTTTACGGAGACCGTACCGTTAAGAAACCGACCATTTCAATATTTCCTAATATCTTGTCGTATTCTGGTTATATACAAACATTTTTCTTTTTTCAAAATAATAATTCATCTTCTTCTCTTTTCGTTTTTTTTTTTTTTATAACATTTTTTTTCCAATTATGAATATATGCGAGTGTAGAATTAAATAATAAAAAAATATATATGTATGAAAATTTGAAATCAAACGGAAGTAGTATTTAGTTGAGATCGATTAAAATTGGTTATTTAAAATTAAAATTAAAATTAAAATTAAAATTAAAATTAAAATTAAATATATAAATTATAATAATAAAATAAAATAAAAATTAATATAATAATAAATTATAATAATAAAATAGAATTAAAGTTAAAATTAAAATTAAATATATAAATTATAATAATATAATAAAATTAAAATTAAATAAAAAAAAAAAAATAATTAAAAAGAAAGGGACACGTGAAAGGAAAAGAAAAAAGAAAAAGAAAAAAAAGGTGACGGTGCTGTATCGTATTCGTTTTTAATAATGCGTCCTCCTGCTCGTCCCGTCTTGTTCAGCTCGTACATTCGTAGGCCAGGTAAGCTTGTTCGCTCAGGTAAGTAAGTACCGTTCGTCCAGCTACGTTGAACACCAGTCACGCCACAACCTTTGCTGTGTCAAGTGTATGGTAGTCGAGAAGAGAGAACTGCTGAATCTTTCTAGTCGACGACCAGCGTCTTCTTCTTCTTCTTCTTCTTCTTCTTCTTCTTCATTATCTTCTTTTCACTGGAATTCATTCGACGAAAAGACGATTTTCTACTTTACGATTTGGAATATAAAAAAGCAACAGATTAAAACACATCTCTCCGTTTATTGGTAAATTATTTTTATATTTATTATTAAATACAATTTTTGTATACAATAATTCGTAGAAATTATATTACATGTATATAGGAATTTTTGATATAGAAAATTAATTGAATAATTAATGTTTAATATATTGAATAATGAAGTTATTTATTATTTGTTTCAATATTTTTTATTAATGATTATCGTATGAATTTTATATGAGTGTTTATTTATTTATCGTCAATATTTTTGTTTATTTCAATATTTCAATCAAATGTTCAAAAAATAATAAAAGGTGTTTAATGTTTTTTCGAAGAATCGATCAATGTGTGTACATTCGTTTTTCGAATCCGTTTGAATTTTTTTACATATTTCGTATTTTTTTTTGCAAATTTTCTAACTGTTCGTTCTACTTGATAACGATTGTTGTGCACTTATTACAACACAGTCGTCATTTGTGATAGTAAAGTTTCCGAACCAGTTAACCATTTTAATTACCGTCGTTACCTCGAAATCCAAACAACCGTACATACACACACATTTTTATCTTCCGTTTTCTTGTTCTTTTTTCAAACATTTAAGACGATCAACTATTTTCGATTTTTCGAGTCCATGTACCACGCTCAGTTATTTTATTTTGATAGACGTTTAATGAAAAGTAAAATTCATTAAACAGTATTCATGCTTCTTAGTTGGAAATTATTAATTAGGAAGTAACAGGATCTAAAGTCATTCAGTTTTAATACTCACAAAAGTGATTAATTATTTTAATAGGATAATTTTTGTTATATTCACGAACTATGAATTGCACAGAATTAGTTGCAGGAATTAATTAATAACACTGCAAATTTATTAATTGCAAAAACACGATTTTATTTCTTAACATTCTTTAATCAATCGCTACGACACACATAGCACAGAGTACCTTATTTCAAAAAAATGTCAACTGTCAACTGACAGTAACCTTTTAAATAATACATCAGTAGGTATCTCTTGTTGGTGTTTACAACTTGCGATCAACCGAAAATAACAATACATCAGTTTTCATAAGATAATCAGTTGTGTTCAGTGTGTTTGTGTATGTGTATGTGTATATGTGTGTGTATATATATATNTCCTCAATGGAATCTGTCTGAAATCTTCTTCGTTGAATGTTTCATTGTTCTGTTGAATAGTTTTTGATGATGGTAAGGCATCCATAATCATTGTTGAAATGATTAAAAAACCTAAGCTCAATTGAAAGCGACACACAAATAAACCCCGATTAGTATATTTCCACGTGATTTCCTTCATCGACGAATTGTCAATGATCGAGGACCAATCCTTAAGTGCTGACAAAATGATTTTTCGTAAATCCTTTTGATGCAACTTGATGAGAACAAGCTTCGTCAGACCTGTGATCATAGCTACCGTCAAACCAAAGAAGTCTAGCGTTTGGTCGACGTCACCACAATTTAGATAAATTTCGAGTAGTATAGAAGTTAGTATACCAAACTGCGATCAAACAACATACCAATTAAAAGACAAATAATACACAAAATAATATTAATTGCAAATTTATATTATTAACACTAGATTTATATACTGAGAGTTATTTTGACTAGTTTCCAATTTTTTTGCTAAATATGCATAAAAATTAAATATTATTTAAAAAATATATATATTGGTTTATAGTTACGAAATGAAATTTTTAATAAATTTATTTATTTATTTAATAATTTACATTATATATATTATTAATTAAATATAATTATTCCTACCCTCTACTCAATCACAATGTTTGTAGGTCATTAAAAAAACAATGAACGAAACATCCTGTGAATCTAGTGTTAACAAAACATTTTTTATATTTCTTTCTTTTATTTTTCTTGGTCTTTCTTTCTTTAAAGATCTCTATTTTTTATTTAGTCTTTTTTTTCAAAATGAATACTACACGATAACTACCTCTAAAATGAAGGCAATGGTAAAGCGAATAATCGCGAATATTCCTTGATCTTGTAGAGGCCACGTACCAGTAATCCATGTTATAAATTTGTATGTTCTTAGTGCATACGTGGCGTCAGGATTCCAAACTACCTTATCCGTATCCATTTTTAACGATAGACACACTGAGATACTATGTTTCTCATATGAAAATGTGGAATAAAATAAAAGAGAACACTCTTCATCAAAAGTATATGGATCAAGTCGTGGGTATTATTGTTGCATGATCGTTAGGAATATGTTAAATGAAATTGTTGTGAAAGGGGTAGAACTAGGAGAATATGAATACTACCTTCGTGTTATTCGTAACCGTATGCGCAACGAACTATGACCTTTTGCGCGTGCGTTTAACATCGTATACCATGTCCCATAATTTTAGGTTCGGCTATATTTTTCATGCCATATGCGTAATCAAATTATAGCGTTTACCACCGATACAAGTTTCCTTTCTATGGAATTCTCTGAAATTATATTTTCGAAAAACGTTTTCTCTTTCTTTCCTGTTCTTCTTCTTGTTCCGTAAATATTTTTTCTTTACACTAACATTCGGATAAGATAAAACGTACTTTTCTCTACCCCCTACTAATGTATAATATTTTACTTATATCCGCTGATACAGAAATGTTAGAAGTTCACGCGTAGTCTTGTATCAAACAGACTAGGTAAAACAACTTGGAAAGAAGTCTTCGTTGATACTGTGCGTGTATCTAGTGAATTTTTAGTTTTGTATATTTGAAAAGGTGATAAGAGATATAAAAAATACGTTTTAATCGTAGGAAATGAGATTTAAAAGCAAATCCCAAAGCTGAATCAAAAACATAGTAAGTATTATCAATAAACTTTCTATAAATAATATTGCAAAAATATTGTAGAGTAATTTTCATTAGATTTGTATAAGAAAAACTGATTTTTAACGGATCTTTTTCTCTCTTATCACGATAAAAATGAAATTTTTAGCCATATGTCTTGTCATATATCTTATTACCAATATATTATACTATACACATTCCATTTTTCTTTTTTTTTGTACAATTTTAGTACTAACATTGATAATCGTTTACAATGTAGCAAATGACTAACGTATAAATATAATCATTCATCGAACATTATTCGTAAAACGGAAAAATATGAGAATGATGCTTTTAATATATTTTTAAAATTTTCAAGATTCATGGTATAAAATTTACCAGCGGTAAGACGTAACGGCTCGTGTGATCTCATTATAATGAATGTTATACTTTTAATTGTACTGGGTGAACACTCGTACCAAGGAAAATGATAAATTACGTTGCAAACGTCCTGGGACAACGTGGACAAATATTCACCGGTATAACTGTATAAGAAAAGTTGGGCCAATACGACCAAAAATGCTACAGTTGTTTTCAAAAGTTGTACCATGTCGTATTGTTTGGATAACAAAAGTATATGGATACCTAAAAATTAAAAACATTATTATAATCCAGACTTAGTTTTCGTATTCTAAAAGATTAAATTACCTGCCAAACAAATGTGCAATCCATCTGCCATCAAAACTGACAATAAAACATTGTTATAAGTGTTCTCTAATCTTTGAGCAAGATCCAAAGTGTGAAAATGTCTGTTAACAAATTCATTAATTTTTTGAATACGATCTTTTGATTCGTKGGATTGAAACTGATCGAAAAATATTTTCAGGGAGTGCAATTGGCTACAAATGTGCATGGCAATGCCAAAGAAGAAAACGTCATTTCCCATATCAACAGCTATGGCATTGATCATTTGAACAGCTTGAAAAACAAATACCGTCCAATAAGTGGAAGTTGTCATATCGCCAAAGATACACAWTGTTCGAAGTGGTGTTTGTCTGAAAATTTCTTCTGTCGAATTTTCATTAACCGGTTGAAAAGATATCGCAGCCATCAAAGCATCCAAAGTCATCGCAGTTATTATAATCAAACCGAATCCCATTTGTATTCGGCATAAGAGTTTACCCTGGTATGTATACTTCCATAATATTTTTTTTTCCATTGAACTATCGACCAATGTTTTCCAATCCTTGAGAGCTGACAATAGAATTATTTGCAAATCTTCACGGTGTACTTTGACCATAATTAATTTCGTTAAGCCAGCAATTGTTACTGCGGTCAATGCAAAGAAATCCAAAGTTTCGTCAGCTGTTCCACAATTCAATCGAATTTCCATCAGAACGGAAACGAGTATGCCGAACTATGATAAATGAGACAATGNTTATGGTAACTTAAATGTGTATGGTAACTAAACATTTCTCTGCGTGCACGAAATGCACGAACGCGTTCCGTCGAACTCCTTGAAACTTCCCTAATATTTTCTTTCAGCAGATTTTCACGACACTATTCGGCATTAATTTTTGGTCGAGAGACACTTGAATCGCAATTCACAATATCCAATTGCGAATCATCTGAATAGAAAATAAAAAATAATGTTACAAAAGTAATCTATTGAGATTATGCTTGCCTAGTATGAGTAGAAAGGATTAAAAAACTAAAAAACCCTAGTTTATATATTAGAAATATTAGAAATTTAAGTCGTCCAAGCAAAAGTAGGACACGTAGCTTACCTTAATTTGACTTCGCCTGTATGCAAATGCAACGACAAAGTCTTATTTATAATTACAATAAAAATAAATATAAATGATAGTGTTGTATTTAGCCTTCTTTGTCAAATTTCTACAACTCTTAGTCGCTTGTTATCAAATTTCGTCAACTCTAGTTGCTTGTTATGTGATTTCTTCACAGATTGTCTTAGATATATCGTTGAAGACAGCCAATGGAGAAATAGGAAGATTTTCTTTTTGTAACGGACAAAGTACAGTTTGGTTGTTTGTAAAAAATCGTTGATGGTTACCATATCAACGCTCTGACGTAGCAACATCAAGCTACACGTCGAGCTTGCTTTTGCTTTGACACATACATATTATATAATTATATTATATATGAGCCGTTCAGTGCATACATCGAATAACTCCATAAAACAAAAAATTGAGAAATGCTATGAAATAATGTATATTGTTGTATTACTTATTATTCAATATCCAAAAAAATTTTGCCGTTTAATGGTGTTAATCTTTATTATTCAGGAAAGTTATAATAAATTTAAAAAGTTATGACTATACCAAGTGCTTTGACACTTAAATTTTAGATTTTTCAAAAAGTGGAGTTAATCGATGTGTGCACTGAAACGGCTCATATTATTGTGATTCAAGTGTCTCTAGACCGAAAATTAACGCCGAAAAGTGTCGTGAAAATCTGCAGAAAGAAAATTTTAGGGAAGTTTCAGAGAGTTCGCGGAACGCGTTCGTGCATATCGTGCATGCCAGAAGGCGTTATTAAATGTGCAGAATAATATCTTTCATGCGGATAATAATGCGTTCACTATTAGAAATTGTAAAAACGATCATCGTAAGTCATTAAATAGCTTTCAATCAATATATTTCTTTCTTAATCCTTTCTACTCATACTAGGCAAGCATAATCTCAATAGATCACTTTTGTAACATTATTTTTTATTTTCTATTCAGATGATTCGCAATTGGATATTGTGAATTGTGATTCAAGTGTCTCTAGACAAAAAATTAACGCTGAACAGTGTCGTGAAAATCTGCTGAAAGAAAATATTAGGGAAGTTTCAAGGAGTTCGACGGAACGCGTTCGTGCATTTCGTGCACGCAGAGAAATGTTTAGTTACCATACACATTTAAGTTACCATAAGCAACTATAAATATTTTATCTACATATTAATCTACTATACATATTTGAGTTACCATAARCAACWCGTCTCTTTTCTTCAAATTGAGAACTTGCTTACTGTGTAATATGTTATGTATTATATGTCAATAAAACGTAAAATAATTTTTGAATGTGGTAACAATATAATAATAATATTATTATAACAAATAAACCCAACAATAATCCTACAGCTGATATTCTGCATTCGTCTCATTTTCTCGAAACTTAGTTTTTTGAAGGTTTCACTTCTAACACGTGTGATCTGAATACATGATTTCTTATATAAATCTAATTTTTCAAATCACACTCATTCTATAGAACTTTTCACTTCAAAAGACGATTTGCAACGAATCTTGTTCTCTCATCCCGATAAAAATGAAATTTTTAGCCATATGTCTTGTCATATATCTTATTACCAATATATTATACTATACACATTCCATTTTTCTTTTTTTTTGTACANTATATATATATACATTTATTAATTTATAAACAACTAATTTAATCAAATACTAAATTCTTAACATAGATATAATAAATATTAATTAACTTGTAAATCAATAATTCATAGTTTGATATGTTACATCTTTCCATTGAAAAATACAAAATAACAAATATTCTTAACATTTAACATAACATTTATCTGCTCTAAGAAATAAGTTAATAACACGTAATACCTAATAATATGGTTCGATTATAATAGCACTATAATAACTGTTTCGACAACGTACTTATAAGTCAAGGTTTAACTTTATCAACAAGTTGATAAGGAAATAATTATTTTAATGCTTTTCGAAAAAAAATGTATTCCTTTTTGTGTGAAAAATGTGAAGTAATGCAAACATCATTTAAAAAAAAAAAAAGAAACAAACTTTTCGCTGTAAAACTTATTATAATGTTGTCTAAAGTAAATAATCAAAGCAACTGTTAAATTATTTTCGTGCAATATCGAAAGAGACCTCGCATGTTCTTTTTAACGGCACGCGTTATTAAACATGCACGGCATTGAACTCTTCTTTGCCGTTCCGGTTCGTCGTGAAGCATACGAATGTGGAAGAATTGTAGCGTTTATTTTCAGAAGGGAAAAAGAAAAAAGAAAAAAAAGAAAAGAAAAGAAAAGAAAACAGGCAAATAAAATTCTTAATTCCTCGTTTATTAAAGAGAAAAATGTAATAAGCTCGTTGTTTTAAGTAAAAAATTACGGTTTACGATTATAAATGAAAATACGAATTGAAATATCTTGACGAATACAACTCGTGTTCTTTGGTTATAAGTTGAAAAAAAAAAGGTTCATCGATTTTTTTTCATCGACAATATAAGTGTTATAATATATTGTATTATACAATGTACGGTTCTTTTGAAAACAGTTGACATGTGTGACTAATGCTTACAGAGAATTATGTTTCTTTCTCAGCTTAATCCCCAATGTGATTATTTCCTTTTTTTTTCTCAAATCATTGATCGATAACTCGACAATACGATCCGTTACATCGTTAACTCGACTCTGTCTTGAACATCTGCTTTACATGGGATGAAAAGTGAGTCATACAAAAAAACAAAATAAAATACACAGTACGGTGTATAGAAATGAATGATTGAAATATTTAAAAAAAAAAAGAAGAAGAAGAAGAAGATGTTGAATCCTTACAGTACACACGTTTATAACAACTCAAACAAACTTTGTATCAAATGTACATCGATATATGAAAGTTAATAGAAATAAATGATTATTGTTTGTTTGTTTGTTCATTCGATTTAGTTGATAGAAAATTGAAAGAAGATTTTTTTTTTCAAATAAAATAACAAAAGTGGACACACAGTCAATCGAAGTGAGTTTGGCGCGTTGGAGGAGCAATGACTAACAACACAGCTCGTACCGTTAGAACGAATCGTTACCCAAGCCTAGAGAATGCCAATTTCATGCGGTTTACGGTACTCAAATTGCGCGTTAGGGGGATATACATTGAAGTTTATAGCGATCAAGTTCGTCCTTACTTTTCGAAACGTGATAAATTTGCCGAGTCATAGGTGAAGAAGACACCATCACACATACACACTTACACACAGTAAACGTATTTGTACAGATTTAATATCCTTTGGTGAAAGGATTGGATTTGTTCGAAAGATAAACATCGAAACGTATGACTCACGATCGAAGATATAAATCCTAATTAAAAACTTTCTTAAGTGTATTACATGCATTTTTTCTATGATGAAAATTATAATCGTAGGATCGTTAGACAAATTAGAAAAAACAAATCTTTTTCCATTGGATGAAATATTTAAAATCATTAAAATGGGCCGCAGTTGTTCTGTGGCATCCTAAAATAACTCGACCAGAATCGAGAGATCCGGTTGAAGGAATCTTCGAGGAGGGGGGTCAACGACACCTACGTACCTTATTCTTGTGTCTCGTTTCAAAATCATCCTCGATGGGATATTCAGTGTTTTGAGAAGAATAATGATGTTAGAATATAAATTGAAAAAAAAAAATACCGTTTGAACAATCATATTATAAAAAAAATCTTGTTTACAGATAAGACACATGCCAAGGATGATGTGGCTAGTACTGTCCAGAACATGGTTCCTATTTTTTCTGCTAGCAGTTGGTCGTTGCGAAACCGATGACAACAATCATGACATGTCTAGCGCTTTTATCGAAGCTGCCAAGACATTTCTAACGGATAAAGATGCGGTCGGTGGACTGAAGAATGCGGCAAGTGCTTTCGTACAATCGGACGTTGGCAAGCAGGTAAACAAATTATCTTATTTTCCTGTGATTTGTATCTTTTTCCGTAAAAGTCTTTTCTTTTAACTACTACTTTTGATAAAAAAAAAAAAATAAAAGATCAGTGATAGTATAACGGGAAACGTCAAATCCGAGGATAATGGATTAGAACAGATACTTTTGAAAGTTGGTAATATGTTAACCAACGATGGAAACGATCCTAATGATATATCTTGGGGTTCATTGATAAATACTTTCTCATCGATGACTGGATTAGCTGATAAGAAAAGGACAGCCAGAAATGTACCGGATAACCAAGAAGAACAAGGAATTAGTTTTGAAAATATGATCAATTTTGGTAGCATGTTGTTGGGACAACATGGCAACGGTGAATCATTATTAGGTTTTTTACCTATGATCATGGATACTTTTAATAATCCCGGTTTACCAGGTGATTCTACGAAAAAACACGATCATTCAGGACATTCGTGGTTCTTGCCACCAATTATGGAACATGTTCATGTCATGTGGGATCATTTCAGGTATTTTGTTTTACAATTTTAATGATTAATCTCAATTTTTCTTTTATTTAATTAAATACATCTTACAATATTAAAATAATAATTATTTGCAGTAATTCCGAGTTGGCTCATGCCATTTGGAAAAAGAGCGGTCTGTCGGAATTCGTCGCACAAATGTCGGACGAAAAGGGTAACATAGAATACGAGAAAATTCTTGGAAGTTTTGAAAATCCTTCGTTGCGTAGACGTTGGATCAAATTGTTAACTAATTTTGTTGCCGAATGGATAGCTCATGTTTCCGATCCTGTTACAAGACAACGTTACTTGACGACTATCCAATTCGTTGGTAACAGTTTTCTCAAATCTCAGGGATATCCAAGATCAGTCATGTTCGATGCTAACAAACCAACCGAAAGCATTTCTAGGTTCGTATTTTAATCATTTTAAACATTTTTATCAATTGTATTAATTTCATTCAATAATCGTATTAAATTAAAATAGATTGTTGAATGTTGCTGCAAGGAAACATTTAAATATGAAGATAGATAGTAGTCAATACGTTAGACCAGCAATAGCTTACATTCAAGAACTCGTCAATTTGGCTTCTGAAAAAGGTTTCATTATGTCAAAAATAAGTGCCAGAGAACTCAGTAACAAATTGAGTGATACAATCAATAACGATATAGTTGAACCTATTCTAAGAGTAAGTATAACAATGATATATCTATCTTATTAATGAATTTATCGATTAATTCATCCGTTATTATATTAACAGTCTCATCGTGCATACAAATGGGCAATCAAAGAGCCACAATGCGCTACTCAAATACTTTGTACGTTAAACAAAAAGAATGAAAATGATGTACCAATGTTACGTACTACGATAACGAAAATTGTAAGTTTTCCAACAGCTTGGTTAGTTAGTAATAAAATAAATGTTAACTTTTGGGCACTTTACGGATCATTGATGGAACACGATGGATGTATCGTAAGTAATATTTAACGTTAATTCATAATAATTATGATGAATTATTCTTAAATGTTTTTTTTTTCCATTACTTTTTCTTTAGAACAAATATCCAGCCGATTGTACGTCATTCCACGAAGAAGAAATCCGAGTAACTACCGAAAATATAGAGCACAATGAACTATGAAAATTTCGTGATAAGAACGTGTAAGAACTTTATGTTTTTTTTTTGTATTATTAATTGTGGGGAAAAGTTGGTTGTCCTGATATATCAAAAAGAGACGTTTTTTTTTTCAAAATAAAAATCAAGACACTTCGCTGCCAGTGCCTGCCAGTGAACGTTTTTACCAATTGCAATGATGTTTTTAAATAATATCTTTTGTAATGTATGTACATACGAGGAAGTTAAGGCCGCGATTAATCGTGAGTGTTTTATATATGTCATACAAAGAGTTAATAATAATAATAATAATAATAATAATAATAATAATAATAATAATAATAATAATAATAATAATAATAATAATAATAATTTAGATAACACTAGTAGCTACTTGGTGCGAAAAGTAGCTAACCAATCTCATTTGTGGTGTACTTCTTTTTGTTTTGTTTTGTTATAGTTTCAAAAGTAAAAATAGTGTATAGTTACAAAAGTTATGAACATTTTACGTTCGGTAAAATTTGTTTATATGGATTTATGCATTTATGCGTCGAATCAAGTGTTGGTTAATAATTACCACATCTTCGTTTATTTTAATCCTTTCACAATAGTGAGGAAAGTTATTAGCTTAATTTAATTGGAATATATATATATATATATATATATATATAGTTTATTCTTTTTAACTTTATTTTATCAAACTTATCGCTAATTCATATTCTTTGTAAGTAGTCGATCTTAAATTATCGTCCTTTCTTTGAAATATAAATCAATGCAACAACATAATGCGATCGCTAATAATCAGAGGAAAAAAAAAGTATTGGAGCGATCGAAAGTGGACTTAATAATAATAATAATAATAATAATAATAATAATAATAATAATAATAATAAAAGCATTTTATCAATGTGTCCTCTTGTAAATATTAGATAAAAGCAATAAATAAATGATAAGTTGAATGTAAGTAGAAGAAGCTGTACAGATCTTATAGGGGGTGATCATTATTTCTTTTTCATATTTTTACACGCCCATTCCAGGCCTTCCTAAAAATAAATAGAAAAAAGTAAATATATATTTATAATATTTATATTCTCATCAATTATATAAATATAATAGTAAAAGTTTAACCTTAACACCCTTTCCTTCTGTCGCAACGCAAGATTGTATCTGCCAATCGCGATCTTTGATGTTGTAAAGTCCTAGACCCTCGGCTATTTCCGCTGCTGTCACTGATTGACCTAAATCCTGTTTATTAGCGTATACCAGCAATGGAACACCACTGAGCTTTTCCTCCAATAATAACTCCGAAAGTTCCTGACCTGTTTCTTCTAATCTTGTGATATCTGCACTGTCTACAACATAAATCTGAACAACAACAAAATCAATAAAATATTTTATTGACGTTCCTTTTCTATTAAGGATGAACCAGAAAGTCGTGAGTTTATTGTGTTGATTCAAATTATTGTTAGATTCAATTTTTTTGAAATAAATAAAATTATTTAATATACAAGTAAAATATTAATTTAACAACTTGTTAACAATTGTTAACCGTTATTTCACCCTAATATTTATTAAAACAACGTATAATATAATACATTCCTACATCTGTGAACGAGTGGTAACGCAAAAAATATTAAGAAACCATATAAAAAATTTACTTACGAGAACGTCGGTATTTTCGAAATAATTTCGCCAATAAGGACGAATCTTCCTTGCACCACCTATATCCCAAACATTTAATTTGAATCCTTCACTTTGTACACTTTTTATATTGAAACCTTGCGTAGGTGTGACCTTTAAAAATTTCATATCATCATAATTATTCCTCTTGCCGTTTACAAAATTATTTAAAAAAATCATAAATATATAAATTCACCTGTGTAATATCTTCGCTAGCCAATGACTTTAATATCGTTGTTTTTCCAGCATTATCCAAACCTAAAAGTAATAGGCGTAATTCTTTTTCCGGATTAGAACGTAATTTTCGCAAAATTGATAAAAGACCCTGAAAAGAAAAATGCAATAAAAATCTAATTAATCAACATAAATGATGTAAGCTACATAATCAGAAAGAGATATGAGATTTGCAATTGAATTATTCGGACGATCGATAAAACACTTTCACCATCAACAACGAAAAGATGTTATTTTCCAGAGTATATTTTAATAGTTATAATTTCAAGAATATATTAATTATCTAATCAATTTATTTAACACACGAATTTTGTTAAAAAATTTAAATATATAAGTCCAATTTTGTATCAAACTCATTTTTATCGTAATTCATTTAATCACTAAACAATACTGCAAAATTTGTATAACACATATATGTTTTTAATTATTATACGTTATAAATTATTAATAACACTTCCTATATTTATATATTATTTTAAAATGATATTAGTATTTCAATTTTTTTTAATATAAATTTATATTTCTACAGCCAATTTTTAGCCTCGCTTTTTAACACATTGCAGAGGTTAAAAAAAAGTGATGCGTTGTGTTCTACTTTGTATAAATATTATAATATATATTATATATAAATATATATATATATATATATATATATATATATATATATATATATATATANTATATATGTTGTGTAAGAATCAAGAGTGCATAATATTGTGCATTTATTTAAATTTATAGAAGTTTCTTTATTGTTACCATTTTTTTTTCTTTTAAAAATAATCACCAATACAGGAATAAAATTGTTATATTAGGATAGCTTACTATGGAACGTACTATGCGACTCTGTTATGTCTGAACTATGCGATACTTGTTGTGGTTCTTTATCGTATCCAAGGAAACGAATGCATGCCATCTGTACCTTTTAGCCAATATTCAACCCTTATATTCTATTTTTCTAAAATTTCTTTGATAACTGATATCTAATATGCTAGTAAAAAAAAAAGTAAATAATATACGATTTAAACATACAGTATTGTGTATTTCTTTTTTTATATTAATATAAAATAATAAAATAAATTCGTGATTTAATGGCCAAGTCTGCAGGAAGAGATAGTAATGTATATTAAAATAAGTATATTATTATAATTAAATATAAGTATAAGTAAAATATAGTAAAAAATATAATTTATTTACACTAACTAATAATTAATAATTGTTAAATTAATTTAAAATGTTCAGTCGACTTTCAAGAATAATAAAAATCAATCAAAATTAATAAAAAAATATCTAATATTAATAACATATATATTATGAAAGATATTTAAACGCCATTCTCTTGATTTGAAGTTCGTACTTTTATTTTCTAATTTTCAATAGAAATCCGGATATTCCAGTGATTAGGATCGTTTTCTTCCTATTGGAAAAATGAAAGAAATTCAAGCAAAACGCGTGATTATAAAATAGGTAAAAAATTACGAAAAAAAATTACGTGTCTTCACCATTTAGAACGCTAATTGATTGAAAATTACGCAAGTAATAGCCAATCAAAGTACAAAAAATAAGTAAATACTGTTGGTAAGAAAATTCAAGATTCAATAATAAGTTACTATCGTATTTACCATCGGATAACTAATTGTCGGTAAGTTACCATCAGATCTGTAATGGTCCGTAATTTTACGATAAATTTTAAGATAAATTATCATCAGATTGTTTATGAAAGTTGCAATTTAAATGCACATATGAAAAACATTTGTTTAATAACTGTGCATATATATATTACTATTATAAAAATATGTAAATATAAATATAAATATAATTAAATAAATAAAAATAAATAGATATGAAAAATAAAATAACTTAAAAAGAAAAATTTTGTTATATCTAAAAATACATTTGTTATAAAGAAAGATAACGTATTTTATTTTATTTTAGAGGTACTTAAGTGGTCTTAGCAATAATGCTCGTGAGTAATAGCAATTACGTTTCTTTTTATGTTCCTTTCTTTATTTTTTCTTCATTTATGAGCCTAGTACCTTAAAAATTACAGCTACAATATATTTTTCGCTATTTTTTTTCTTTTTTTTTTTTTATCATTATCTATAGGATATTTACAGCCGAGGAAAGTTGTTCCACGGTTCTCAAGGTAAAGAGTATTATTTTATTTTACAGAATTCACGTATGTTTACAATTTTACAATTTCGAATGACTAAACAGTTGACCTTTTTTTTTTTAAATTATTACCGTTCTTTCAAATCACGGCGATGTAACATTTTTTTAAAATTTATTTTATTTCTTATCGTTAAACATATTTCAAATTGAAATTAACGAAACGTTTATTACTCGTCCCGGCACAATGATATAGGTATTTTTATTATTTTATTAATTTAAACAGTAAAAGATTTCGTGATCATCATAATTACGTTAGTGTCAAATTAATTCTGTAATTTGCATATAATTTATTATATAAAGATCACATTTTTATGGACACTATTTTTAATTCATTTTATTTTTTAACGATAAACGCGAAATAATTCAAAATATACACGACGATACTAATTCAATAAAGATCTGTGATTTAATATAATCTTTTTTAATTTTATTTTAAATGAAATATTTCTAAATGAAATTTCCTTTAATATAAATTAAAACGGATAGAGGAACAAAATTTGAGATCGTATCAATAAGATAAATCTACAATACAATTGTACAATTGGGTGCACATAATTGATCGTAGTTCATGAAATCGAGGAAGACTTTCGAATGGGTTGTGTGTCACGTATATAGGTATGTATGTTCATTCGTTCGTTATAAAGCAAATTTAATGAAAAACGATTCTTTGAAGTGGTTTTTGGCTTTTTTATTATTTTTTTTTTTTTAATTTAATTTTATTTTATTTTATTTTATGTCATTTTGTCAATTTTTCAGTCACGTCGAGATTTTCTTTCACTTATTATTATTATATATATATATATATATTTTTTTTTTTTCATGTATAACTTATGTTCAATTACATAATATTATTTTATTACATACATTCGAATGTTGTTGTTTTTTTTTTTTTTTTAGCACAATTTAACTTAAACGAATAATGGAGTATTTACAGATTTGTTGTTTGTGTATAGAGATTATAGATTGTAACATTGAAACAGCATTAAGATTGTATAATTTATAAAGGTACACGTTGCAGTCTTTTATAATTTATTCTCTTTTTTTTTCACATGTGACTAGAAATATTTCGCATAATATTTATTCGAGATACGTAAATTTCTTAAGTATGTATGTGTGTATGTATACATATATATTTATACTTATTAAATTAAAATGAGAATCTTCTTGACCGATTTTTATTTAACATTTCATTTTTCAAACATCTTTTTATTTTATGAGAAATTGATGGTGCATATTTGCATATCTCGTAGCAATTCTGAAATCCAATTAACGAGATAAAATTGAATCTCATTTAACGAATAATGTTGTAAATAACCATTATTTTTCCCCTCTTTTTTTTTTTTAATAATACATTTGAATAGGTCAATTACACGATTTTTCTAAATCATTAGAGATATTTTTCCTTTTGGCTTTATATTATTATTATTATTATTATTATTATTATTTATATTCTTGTAATTTTTTTCTCGGCATTTTGGTTAAACGGACTAAAATTTCATCTCTCTCCTTTGATTTTCGTTCATAGATTTCGATGGACGTAGTACTATATATGATTTACGAAGATTAAATAATAATTCAATTAGATGCCTTGGAGAATGATTTTCCGAAATATTACACACTCCAAAGACCCTGAACGAACGCGTTTATTACCACAAGTCATTCGAATAAAATTATTCGCATGTTAAGATATTATTATCATCATCATTATCATATCTCACTCAAATTTATTTAATTATGATATAATATTTCATTCGTTTATATTTTTTTTTGTTTTTATCAAATATCTGATAACGCGTTTTAATTTTATATTTTATTGAAAAAGATTATGAAACCGATTGAAGATCATAAATACCAAAAAGACAAATTTAAACAAATGTAATGCAAAAGAACGAACGATTAGATGATTAATTGTAATAATTAAATAAATTAAACTATTAATTATACCTTTCTTCTCATACCTTGGCATACGAATATTTTTATGAATTATTGTATTTAACGCAACGTACTTTAGGATATGCAAGTATAGCGTAATATATTTTATCAAGGTCTAAGCTAGTTATTATTCCGAATCTTGCATTTTATCGATTCGAAATTACTGCATTCTATTCTTTTTTATATTTTTTTTTTTTTAATTTATTTCTCGTTTGCAAAACTCGAGATTTTTTCTTTTCTTTTTTTTTTTTTTTGTCAAGATATGAAAGAGAAAAAAGTGTACTTTAAAGTCTTTGGAGTATAAATCATGTCCATCATGTTTCGTTTTATTATTTCTTTTTTTTTTTTTATTGTTAAATCTTTTAACCTTTTTTTTTCGTTTTATTACATGTTTTTTTTTGGTCGCGCGTCTTAAAGTTTTTTTTTCTTTTTTTTTTTTTTTACGTAAAAAGTATCCAAAGCTCTAGAGAATCGTTCGTTTTCACGTTATTATTATTTTTTTTTTTCTTCTTTTTTTTTCAATATCAAAAATTGCTTCCTAATTTTGTGCGATACGTAGCACACGTGATAATACATATTATCATAATTAATATTAGATTTCATTTCGAATATATTTGCTTATTATTATATACACATATGCGCGTCGGTATCGCATCATTGATAAGTATTAGTATTACGTTTTCATTATGGATTTAGATTAATTTTATAATATATATATATATGTGTGTGTGTATTTACCTAATTGTGATTTTTTTTTTAACACCGCTCGAACGGCAGAAAATTCGTAATTAGCAAAAAATGAGATGATTTTTTTCTTTCCAATGTTTTTCAATACTGATCTCAAGATTTCAAATGTAGCGTAACAATTATCACTATACTGCATAAATATTTAACAATACTTTGAACAGATAGATAAAAAGAGAAAGAGAGAGAGAGATGGAGAAAGATAAGAAATGTGTAAAAAAGCAAGAAACAAACGAAAATTTATTTCGAAATGTTTCTTTCTTTTAAAACTAATATATATTAACGTTATTTCATATCCATTATGAATTCGTTATCTCAATTATCGTAAAGTAATTATTAGGAAAATGTCAACGTTGTTATCAACTTGTTAGAAGTCGAGTATAGAACGTTAAGGCCGGCGATACATGTAAAATAAAAATAAAATCGAATTTTTTTTTTTCATAAATAGTTAGTTTACCATCTTAAAAATATGTCTGTAAATTTTTAGAATGAAATTCGCATTATTTATCGATTAAAAATTCATTTAAGTGCTCCGCCTCAACTCGGCGCTAGACGCGAACGCTAAATTTTGAACGCGTTTTTCTCGAAACGACTTTTTTCAAACTGTGGTGAAAGATAACTCAAAAAGGTTTCAACCGATTCTTATGAAATTTAGCACACATTTTCTTTATAGTATTAGCTTCTAGTTGAACTTTAAAAATGCCACAAAAATTTTCCAAAATTGCCATTTTTGACACAAAAACCGTTAAAAAAAAGAAGCAAAAATCAGACTTTTTTGTCTGAGTGGTGCCAATTTACGATTTTTTGACTTTTTAGTTTTTCCTTAGTTCAACTAGAAGATACATGTTTTATGAACACGTTCCGACCCTTTTTTTCAAATTTAGATTGCTGTAACTAAAGCTAAAAATCACCATGATTGATGCGTTTCGCCGCGAGGGCCTCAGGAGATTAGTTACTACGGCGGCCATTTTGAAAAAAAAAAGAAAAAAAATCAGATTCTTATATTTTAATATGTAATGAATAAACATGCTGAATTTCAAAACGATTCATTTATTCCTTCCATTTTAAATAAGCCTCTGAAAAACGATCAAAATTTAGGCGTTTACATGTATCGCCGGCCTTAAGGAAAAAAAAAGTAAATATAACAACATAAAAATAAAACATAATACTTAAAAAGGGGAGAAAAATAAAAATTGAAGGAAAAAAGTATTTTAGTTGAAAAGTATCAAAAAGGTTTCGCATAAAAATAAACTGATTATATTACATTATCAATTTATAATACTAATGGTAATTATATCTACCTACCTACCTACCTATCTACCTATCTACCTACCTACCTATGGGGTAATTTGCATAGAGTATATTTATTGAGATACAAATAAATGAAATTAATTGTATAATTTATGAATTTAACACAAACACGTGTTTAATGAGATCACTTGTTCCCGTATTCAATCTTGTCATACGTAAATCCTTTCTTTCTGTTTTTTTCTTTTCTTTGTTTTTCTTTTTTCTTTTCTTTGGAATGATGCATTTCCCATATAATACACAAATGCACGTGTAAAATGTGTATTTAACCAGTTAACTGCATTTTGAAAGTGCGCACCACTGTGTGTCGTTAAAAATCGACCGATGACAAGTCGTGGGGTTAAAATTGTTTCATTTTAAGGATAAAATGAATTAAAAATAACAAAAAAAAAATATAAAAATAGTAATTTAAAATTCTTGAAACTCTTCTTACTCTTATCTTAAAATTTGAGAATTATGTTTTCCATTTTTCACAAAAAATACAATATAAATAGCACATGGTCGCTACTTTTTACGAAATGACGGATATAATCGTCACGACATAAAATTTTGTCACATCTTCATGACGGATATAATCGTCAACACACATTTAACTGGTTAATACTCATACGGATGGTATATTATTATCATATCACGCGTCCCGGAAACGTATGGCTCTTTCACGACGTGGCCCTGAACGGGCCCCTGGGTGACGTCACATTCCCCCAGTATTATAGCTAGGTAGACCAGTTCCAGACACACAGATACCCCCATCGCTGCTTTGGCTGACACTGCTATAACTAACGCTACTCGTTTGTCCGCTAGTTCCCATTCCGGAAACGTACTGAAATCAGAACAAACATCACGAATTCGAATTATATATATATACATATATCACTTTTTATATTTTTTTATTTTTTCCTTTCTTTATCATTGTACCCAAAATTTATCAATAAATTACGTAGATACATAATAGTAGAGTGCACTGCCAACGAGATGTATTATATATATAAAGGAATAAATGTGTGTTATTAAAATGGTGTGATAAAAAACATCGATAGAATTTAATTGATGATTAAATCTTTCATTAAATATATATATAAAAATATAGAAACAACAAAATACTAAACAGCAAATTTGTTTTTGAATATTTTTAATTAATAACAAAAATGTTAATTTTATACGAATATTATTACATACTAATATATTATACAGATATTAAAATGGTATGATAAAAAACATCGAAAGAATTTAATTGATGATTAAATCTTTGATTAAATATATATAAAAATATAGAAACAACAAAATACCAAACAGCAAATTAGTTTTGAATATTTTTAATTAATTACAAAAATGTTAATTTTATAGAAATATTATTAAACACACTAATATATTATACAGATATTAAAACAGTGTGATAAAAAACATCGAAAGAATTTAATTGATGATTAAATCTTTAATTAAATAGAAAATTAATAATAATAATAATATAGAAACAACAAAATACCAAACTGCGAATTAGTTTTGAATATTTTTAATTAATTACAAATATGTTAATTTTATACGAATATTATTAGACTCACTGATATATTATACATGATTCTAACCAACACATTTGTGTATGATTTAATGATTTGACTAACTTAATAATCGTAAACCAGAATATGTTGGTTTGATTTTATTAAAAATTGTTTTCTCGTTTTGAAGTAGAAGAAAATTAATGTTACACGAAACGATACCGAACAATTCTCAATCGTCGCATTACCGTGAGTGTGCTTTTGTGTATGTGTATGTGTATGTGTATGTGTATGTGTATGTGTATGTGTATGTGCATGTGTATGTGAATATGTCACATAATTGTACGCACGTTTATTATTTAAATAATGAGTGTTGAGTTTTGTTGTTCGCGTAAGGTATTATAGTTTAGTATTTGCGTACGCTTTTTTCATGCGTGTATATACGCCCAATTGGTTAGAAAATGTGTTCCGTAGAATTTTTAACACTTTCGTCCTTAAAACTTCCTTCATCATTCATATTATTCGTAGTAATAACGCATGTGATACGAAAAAAAAATCCCAATAAAATGAATAAAGAGAAAGATAATATAGCATGTGATCATTTGCTTATACAATCTTTCTACAAGATTTTTATGAATATTAGAAGTAGATAATTTTAAATTATTAAAAAAAATATTGCGTAGTAATTATTCTAAAAAAAAAAGAAATTTGTTAGTACCTATAATTAATAAATTTAACTTCTATTTTATAAATTAATAAATATTATAAATTCATTCTTTTTAATGAACAAAAATATTGCGTAATAATTATTATAGATTACGATTGATAATAAAAATAATAAATTTGTTAGTATAATTAATAAATTTAACTTTTATTATAATTTAATAAATTTTGTTAATTCTTTTTTTTTGGTTATCTTGCAAAGAATTTGTTTTTAGATATTTAAAGTTTAATAATTAAGGGAAAAATGTATGCAAATATATGATTTATTATTTTGAATTTCGCGCTCGAGTAAGGGTACGCGCACGCGTGTATGGGATATCATTGGTTTTATTACACCCTCTGAGAAGGGAGAGACGATCGATCGACCTACCCCATGTTACTGGTTAACTTAACTACTTTCGGTCCTCGGTGCGTTCCCTTTAAAGGTCGCCACGGATCATTGGCATGAGCTTTACACTTTATGGCTTGTCCACTTCATGCCACTGACTTGACTTCTTTTGCACCGATTCACGACAAGTAAATGTAATGTAAAAAAGAACCAACCAACTATTATTTAACCTAAGAGAACAAGAAAGAACCTCGGACTCGAGTTAAATAAAAAAAAAGAAAGAAAAAAAATACAATTCTTATTATACTACCAGATAATAAAATGAAAAGAAAAAATGAGAAAGAAAGATATATATATATATAAATATATGTATATATAAAAAAGAAAGAGAGATTGTTATTAAAGTAATTTATTTGTTATTTCCAAAATTAAAATACAATAAAATATCGATTTTAATTATTAGTAACATTATAATTGAATTTAAACGGGATAGAAAAAATATTGTATTTTAAATTTTATAACAGGTGTCGTTATCATTCACTGTACATGATACATGTACTAATCTATCTCTCTCTCTCTCTCTCTCTCTTTCTCTCTCATTCTCTCTCTATCTCTCTCTTTTCTCTCTCTCTGTTTCTCTATGTATCTCTCTTTTACACGTTGATTCTTTCTCTAATTAACTAAACATCATTGAATACGATTAAATTCATCGAACCAATAACAATAGCTTCTGTGAGAGTAGTTTCGCGATACTCCGATATTAATATCTCTTTTATTCGTTAATATGCTCAACGAATATACGAGAGGAGACTCATTTTCGTTAATCCGTGAGATTAAATCAAACCAGTGTCGAATCCGTTGATCAATCATAATGCGATAGACGTATTAAAACGAACAAACGAATAATTTGTAATGGAGAAGATAAAAATTTAGAAAATTTCTACGCGTGACATCGTTTAGAAATATTTTTTTTTATTTATGAAAATTTTTATTTCATTTTTTTTAATTATGATAATTCGTCGAATATAAATAAAATAAAAAATTCGAAGAAAAAAAAGTAACACGAATTTTATAATTTATAATTGAACTATACGACGAGAAGAAAATTTATTATTACAATGTTATTTCTTTTAGTTTATTTTATTTTATTTTATTTATGAAAAATTGTCGAATATAAATAAAATAAAAATTTTGAAGAAAAAAAAGTAACACGAATTTTATAATTTATAATTGAACTATACGATGAGAAGAAAATTTATTATTACAATGTTATTTATTTTATTTTATTTTATTTATGAAAAATTGTCGAATATAAAATAAAGTAAAAAATACAAAGAAAAAAATCTAACACGAATTTTATAACTATAATTAAACTATAGAATGAGGAAAAAAAATCTGCTATTATAATGTTAAAGTCATGTCAAAAATTTATAAATTAATTCGTAAGGGTAGAAAATCAGTGAAAATTTTAAACGAATTATATTATATATCTCTTTCCCCATTCTTCTTTAGAGAATGTAAATCATATTCATCCGAACATAAACGATATCGATGAATTATTATCGTTGCTCGAGGGGGTGCGGTATAGAATGCTACAATATCCTATTACATTTAAATCGTCAATGATGATATATTATCTCTTATATACAGTTAAATATCATTCCCATACAAAGTTACGAATTTCTGTGTATATGATTGTGACAATAGACTTTTAAATTACATTTATCTCTTTTTTTCATCAACGTAACGAGAAACATATTGGAAATATCTAATAAAAGGCTTACGATTGATTTTTTTTGTTTTATCTTGCTAAATATTTTCTTTTTTATGTTGGTGTGCGTATAAGCGGAGGATCTCTACGAAATATACAAACAATTATTTCATTGATTTTTATAATCATTTTCTTCAAATTTCTTGTATCATTAAATTATTGATACAAAGACAATCGCATGCAAACAATCGAACATTGGATTTATCGAGCAGTAAGTAGTAAAAAATTAAAATAAAAACAAAATAAAGGAATGTGCTTATAGTGGTGTTGCTTGTTGCGAACGTTTGTTTTTTTTTTTCAAAACTAATTTTCACACCAAATATCTTTACAGGTGCTCGATTAATTTTTTTTTTTTTACGTGCT